TTTATTTGTTTTTAGTTTGTTATAAAATTATAAACATTTGTTAAATTATGTTTTATATTAAAATAATACTACATTTTTTAAAAAAATAATAATAATAATATAATAAATACATTAATAAAAATAAAATACAATTATTGATTCTTAGATTCTATCTCTTATTTAAAAAAATCTTTATTTAAAATTTGTAGAGATAAATAAAATAAACTTAAGAATTTAGAAGAAAGTAATTTTTGTATTAAACATAACAAAATCTCCTTTACTATTGTAATTTCTTAATAGTTATTATATTCTAATATCAGTTCATTTGAAATTCCAATAAAAATGTAATTGGGTTATGTTTTTAAAAAGATATTCTAAATAAAACTTATAAACAATTATTTATTTTATTTATTTATTATTAAATATTCCTTTATTTATTTTTATAAAAATATCTTTGTAAATTATATATTACTTAATAATTAATTATTTCTTTAAATAAAAATCCTAATTAATTAATATGAGGCATATAAATATTAGATATATATAATAATTAATTAGCGTCATCTGGGGTAATAATACTCAACCACTAATTATTTATTATATTAATAACTTTATCAGTGAATTTTTATTATCTTTGAATAGTTTCTAACAAATATATATTAATTTAACAAATATAAACAATTTCAGAAGTAAAATTTAAATTAAAGTTATTTAAAAATTTATTAAACCTTTACATATTAATATATTAATATTAATATTAATATTGATTTTTTTTTTTTTTTGAAATAATACCTTTAATCATATTTTCCGAAATTCTCATATATTATAAAGCTAAGATCAGATTAAATAAAAAATTTAATAGTTAAATAAAATTCCTTTAGATTTAATTATTTTAAAAAGTTATTGTTATTTTATATGCATTAGGCAAATCCTTAGCTTGCTTTTGTATTGAATTATATATAGATACTTATAATTCTCATAATTTCATCCTTATTTTAATATTGTAAACCTTTTTCTATAAGTTTTTATTCTATTTAGATTTTTGTATTATCTGGTATTGAGTTTTAATATTAAAATATACTTAAAAAATTTAAACAATCTTAAAAATCTAAATCATTAATATTTTTTTATTGGTCTAACTAATAAATATCTTAAATTTTATACTTTTTTATATTTATTTATGTTTTTCCAATAAATTATATTTTTTTATTTACTGAAATTTAGATAAGATTTTTCTTTGTTTTATCTGATATTAAATTAGCAAAAATATTTAAATTATTAAATATTTATAAAATATTATTAAATTAAATTTAATTATTATCACTTTAAATTAATATATTTACTTATTCTGATAAAATTTCGTAAAATTCTTAATTTTTTTAATCAAATTCTAATATTAGTTGCTTGTTTAGTATTTAATACAGTTAAGTAATTATATTTATATCTTTTAACAAGTAATCTTTATTTATATATTTTTATAAATAATTAATTTTATATATAATTTGCTTCATTTTTTTTTATATAATTTAATTTAGAAACTCAATTAATATAAAAATAGGATTATTTTCCTTAATTTTTTGTTTTTATTTTTATTAATTGAGTTTTTTAAAAAAATTATAATAATACATAAAATATATACAATTAATAATATTTACCTTTTATGTTTTATTAAAATAATTTTTGAGTTTTATTAATTAAATCTTAATAATAAATTTTAAATACATTTGTATAGTTTATTATAATATCTTTTTCAATGAAATATTTAACATTTTAAAGTAGTTATTCATTTGAAATATCCTAAATTTAATTTATAAAATTACTTAATATGTAAAAATTATAATCATGTCTATCGTTTTATTAGATTTATAGTATTTGGTTTAAATCAATATTAAAATTTAATTGTTAATCTTAATAATTTATATTATTGTTATTTTCATTTTTTTAAGTTTATGTATTTTGATAAATATCTTTTTGTTTATTTAGTTAAATTTAATTTTAATCATTTTTTTTTGAAAACGTTTCTTTTTTTAAATTTTCTTCATTCTTTTTAAATTATAAATTTTCTAATTATTATTAATTATCATTTTTGTTTTTTTTAGTTTTTGAATTTTAGCCTATTTTGCTTTTTTATAATATAGTATTTTCTATTTATTCATCACTGGCTACTTTTTTTTTTTTTATTGTATTAGATTTTATTTTCTCTTGGCTATTTTTATCTTTTTTATAAATAATTTCTTTAAAAAATTCTTCGTTTGCAAATATTTCATTCAAAATCTAATCTTTAGACAATTAATCTAATAATGAATTTTAATTTTATTTTTATTAAGGTTATATATGTTTTGGAGACTAAATTTCTTATATTAAAACAGTTGTTTAATGATTATCTTAATTTTTTTTTGACTTTTAAAATAATATTTTTTTGGCTTATGGATATTATCTTTAAATATATTTAATATATGATATCATTTATTTTTATTATTTTCTGTATGTTTAAACAATATAAATTTAATTTAGTATAAAATTGGATAATTAAATTATAAAAAAAACCAAAAATAATCAAATAAATCGAATTTTTGTTATGTATTTTATTTTAAATAATAAATATTTTCAATTTTTATTGTTTTATATATATATATAAATATATATATAATTTTTTTATTTTCATTTATTTATATTATATAATTATTATAATAATAATATAACTTCAGAAAATTAATCATTATTAATTTAGTTTAAATTCTTGACTTTTAGCTTTTTTTCTTCTGTTTTTTTAAAATAGTTTTATTCTATTGTAATTATTATTATTCTTCTTACTAATATTCTTCGGTTTATAATTAAGTAAGAGATAACTATAATTCTTAAGTAGATTAATATTCTTTTGTAGATTAAATTTCTAGATTTTAAGATTATTCTTTTTAATTATCCTTTTCTTTTTATTATTATTGATTTTTTTTTATTATTTTTTTATTTTATTTTAATTAAGCTTTTAATTATAAGATTTATTAGTTCTTCTCATTAATTTCTTACTAAAAATTTTTAATAAATTAACTTTCTATATTTTATTTTTCAGTCAACTTTTCCCACTCTTTGTCACTTATTTATTTTTGTAATAACTTGAATTAATTCAAAAGATTTTCATAGTCTAATTAATTTTTTTCATATTCTTCAATTCTGTTTCTTTATTAGACTATTTAGTCTTAATATTCAAACTTTAATTAATTGACATTTCTATAAAACTATTCTTTTTATTCTAATATAATATCTTACAATTATTTAGTCTTTTTTTCTTGCTATTCATATTTTAATTTATAATTATAATTTTCTTATTTATAAAAATCATTACTTTTATTCCCTTTGTTTTAATAAGAGTTTAATTATTAAAGTAATTATAAGTTTTATTCTTATAACAATCCATAAAGCTTTCTTTCTTATTTTATTTTTAACATCAATTCTTAATTTTATATTTGTAATTAAGAATTCTAATTATTATTTTAATTATAATTATCATCTCTTTAATTTTAAATTTCTTCTTTTTATTAAAATTCATTTTAGTTGTCTTATAGATATTATTACTATTAAAGAGTTTATTCAGATTAAAAATTAAATTGTTATTAATTATATTATTCTAAATTTTAATTTTCATACTTTTATATTTATTATTAATAATGATAAATTTGCTATTATAATTATTTAATAAAATCTGATTCTTCTTGTATTTAATTTGATTCTAATAATTATAATTAGGGTTATTATTATTATTATGAAAAAATTAATAATTAAGATTATTATTATTATTATTATTATTATTATTATTATTATTATTATTATTATTAATATTTTTCTTATTATTATTCTTATTATTATTTATATAACTATATTTATTATATTTATTCTTTTATTTTATTTTCTTATTATTATATTTTTATTTTATACTCCTGTATTTTATCTTTTAATTAATTCTTATCTTTTTTATTTTCAATTTAATTAATATTTTAATTATTCTATTTTTATTTTTTTATTTTTTCACTTTTTTATTCATCTTTTTCTTAATTTTATTATTCTTGTTATAATAATTTATTTTCTAATTATTAAAGTTATTCTTATTATTACTAAATTTTCTATTATAATATATCCATTTTGTTTTATTCATCTTATTTTTTTTCTAATATAATTTAAAGTTATTTTATTTTTTCCTATTTTTCTTACATTTAATTTTCATGTATTTAAGTTTATTAAATAATTAAATTTTTTAATTTTTCTTTATCCATAATTAAAGATTTCATATTTTATTCAAATAAATTATCAATCGTTTAAATTTTTTGATTATTTTTTATATCATTATCATTTTATTATGAAAAATTATATAATTTTTATAATAGACTCTCTAAATTTTTTTCTATTTTTGAAATTTCATCATTTATTTTTTATTAATTATTCTCTTTTCTGAACACATTAATTTATAGATAATTTTAGTTTTTTTATTCTTAATTTAATTATTCTTACAAACAAAAATTATTTTATATTTTCGTATTTATTTATTTCACTTTTATTTAAATATTTAATTTTTTAAAAAAATATTAAATATTACTTAATATTTAAGTTTAATTTAGAGTTTTCTCAATTTAACTTTTATATAGTTATTCATTTTATAAGACTTCATAAGTATGACTTTTATTGCTATTAATATTATCATAATTCTATATATCAACTTTATTTGATTAGGATGATAATTAATAATTTTAATTTATTTACATATTTATTTTTTGCTTTTTTTTTTATTTAATTATATAAAGTATATTTTATTCTATCTATATTATTAAAAATAAGAAGGAAAAAAAAAAAAATTAATTTAAAAAAAAAAAAATATTTATTAGCTAATATGTTTTATTTATTTTCTTTAAATTAAACTTTTTTAAATTTTTTTTATTTTAAAATACTCTATTTATTCAAATATATATTTTTTCTTTTTATAATAATAATAGTTAACTTTATTTTTTTATTTTTTTCAAAAAAGGATAATGATGCAAGAAAGTAAATAAGAAGATAAATAATAAAACTTATTTTTAAATATAAAATAAAATTAAAATGAAGAAGAGTTTTAAGATACGGGTAAATTCTCTTGTTATGAAAATACGTTATCATGTTTTGGATCAATAGCTGGTTGTTTAGGAATGTGGCTTCCTTTTCCATGTTGTTGTTGTCCAAAACCTATTATAAAAGTCAAACAATCATATTTTGGCTTATTAGAAAAGTTCGGTCGTTATTAAAAAACTTTAACAGCTGGATTACATAAAGTAAATCCTTATTGTGAAAAAATAAAATTAGTAGATAGTAGGACATACGTAAATATGAAAATAAATATAAATTATAATTACATAATAAAGGTCTTAGATTTAAAAAGATAGTCAGTTATGACAAATGATAATATATCAGTAAATATAGATTCTGTTATATTTTATAGAATTTATGATCCAAAAAAAGCTATGTATAAATTATCTGATATCAAAGCATCTATAGAAGGTTTGTTTTGTTTCTTTTTTTTTTTTAATAAAAATAAATATTTAAATAAAGAATTAACTTATACTTGCCTTAGAACTATATGTGGAGAACATAGTTTTTAAGATCTTTTAGAAAAAAGAGATGTTATTAATGATCAAATAGAAGCATTTATTGAATAACAATCATCAAATTGGTTTGTATTTTTTTGAATTAATTAATTTATTTTCTTTTTAAATATTTAATATAAAATAGGGGAATTTATGTTGAATAGGTATTCATTAAAGACATGCTTCTTTCAAAAGATTTAATGAATTAAATGTCTTTAGTTCCAATAAGCTTAAGAAAGGCAGAAACTAAAATAATATCTTCATAAGCTGATGTAGAAAGTGCCAAATTATTTAGAGAAGCTGCTGATATGTTGTCCTCTAATGCAGCTATGTAAATTAGATATTTCGAATTAATTTAATAGATTGCAGATTAAAAAGGAAAAAGTGTTGTTTTTTTACCTTTAAAATAATAAGAAAGTTAAAATTGAAAAATTATAAATACTAAATAATATTTTTATTATAAGAAAAGCAATATAAATAAATATTGATTATTTGTTTTTTTTTTTTTGTTATAATCAAAGAGAATATAGGTAAATTTCTATTATTTATATAAATTAAGTAATTTTTTATTTTATAAACAAACACAAAATACTTATAACAAAAAATATTGAAATATTATTAGTTTATAAAGATAAATTTATAAATAAAATTAATTTATTTAGTGTTTTAATATTATTTTTAATAAAATCACCAATTTTGTTCATTTTTACAATAAAAAAATATATTTCTTTTATGCTTTTTTATTTTTTTTATTTAAAAAAAAAAAATATAGTTCATTTATAAATATTTAAATTTATGTCTACCTAACAATAAAATTATTAATTAAAAAATAAAAAAAGTTTTTTTTTTTTTTCTTTTCTTTTTTTTTATTTTAATTTTAACTAGTTTTATAGTGTTTTTTTTTTATTTTTTCTTTATTTTTTTAGAAAAAGCATTATTTTATTTAATTTATAAAAATATTTGGATATTTATGATATATTTTATGTAGAAAATCATAAAAAGTTATATAAAAATATCAAAAAAATCATAAAAAGTTATATAAAAATATCAAATAAAATAAATAATTTATAAAATAAAAAGTAAAAATATAATTCAGTTTTATAAATAAAAAAATAAATCTAATCTTAAAATTTTCATAATAAGTTCATTAAATAATAAAAAATATATATTAATATTTCATATAATATATATAATTTATAAATAAATTTATTATAGTAAATAAATATTTTTTTTTTTTTAATTAATACTGTTATAATAAAAAAATAAACTCTATTCATTTAATGTAAGATATACTCTTTTTTTTTGTTTGTTTAATTTTTTTAAAAAAATAATTTTTTAATCTAATTTTTTTTTTTTTTTAAATAAATTTTTCTAATTTAAAAATAAAAATGGAAAAATTAAAATTACATAAAAGTTAAATAACAATTAAAATTAATATTACATAAAATAAAATACCATAAAAAAAAAAAAAAAATTGAAATTCAATCTTAATTTAAACAAGAAAAAAAATATTCATGAAATTTAATCTTAATATTATTAAAGTCATCTTATAGATAACTATTTAAAGATTTAATTTTATTATAGGAAATATTAGGATAATTTGTATAGCTAAAAAAAATCTACTTTGGTTAAAAAATAAAAAGATATATAGATAGTCTAACAAGAATTGTAAATTTAATAAAAATCTATGTAATTATTTAGCTTTACTTAAAATATGAAAAAAAAAAAAGTGTCTTTTAGGGATTAAAAAAAAAAAAAAAAAACTTTAAAGGAAAGCGTTTGCAATACAAATAATTACTAAGTTAATGAATGACCTTAAATCCCATTTTTATTGATAAAACATTGATTCAAATTAATTCTATAAATAATTATAATTTGTTGCCTAGAGGAAAATAATTAGTGTATTCTTTGATTATTAATATGTTTTTTTCGGTCTTTTATCAAATTAATAAGAGTATTTTTTCGTTTATGATTAGGCTTCTTGCCACTAATCGCAAAAATTTAAATGGGCTATATGGAGTAGTATTTCAATTATTTTTACACCAAGGAATACTCCACAGCTAAACCCAATAGAGTTAGTGTGGAAGTAACTTAAAGTTAAAATAAAATAATAAGAACTTTTGACATAAAAAAAAAATATATATTAGAAAATTAATGAAACTTTTTAAGAAATAACAACATAATAATTAACAAATTACTTTTATAAAACTTTTAAATTATATAAGAAGGCATTAGGAAAGGAAGATTATACAACAGGAATTATATAAAAATGAAGAAAATATTATTTATACATTTTGATAAAAAAAAAAAGAATTATTTTTGTTTTTTTATAAATTAAATTAAATATAATATATGAAATAAAATCGATCTATACATTTAATGTTCCCTTTATATATTTAAAAAATAATGAATTTATATTAATTAATTGTATTAATAAAAAATAATCTTTTTTATTTCTTTTTTATATTAAAATATATATTTTTACAAATTTCCTTTAGAAATTTATTAATAATTATTTGCTTTTTCATTGTCTCTATTATTTTATCTATACTGAATTTCTTTTTTCTTTTTCTTACTATATGTTTTTAAACTTATAATTAATTATTTTTAACATTTTTCTAATAGTTTCTGTACTAAATATTCTTTTATTTAAACACAAAATTACTTTAAATTTATTTTAAAGAGATATTTTAATTTTCTTTATTTAAAATATATTTAATTTAAAAAAATGTTGATTTCAATTACTATTAGTTATGCTAACTTATTTCTTGGAAACTAAAATTTTCGTGTTATTTTTTTTATTAAAAATAGGAATTAATTCTTTCTACTTAAAATAAAAATAATAATATATCTCTATTTTTGTAAAGTGAATATTTCCCGAAAATTATTTCAATTAAATAATAAGATTTAAAACTAAAAATAAGCATAAGATTTATTTTTATACTTGAACTAATTGAAGATATTTTAAAATAAAAAGGTTTTAAACCTTTAATCTTAGGAGGTAATTAAAATTACCATAAAAAAATGGATGCTTTAGATTTTTCATCATTTGTATCCTTATAATTAAGTTTAAATTGGTAAATGATTAAAAATCAAGATGATTATTAATATATTAACAAATTAATGAAATTAATAATTTATTTTTATATAATAAATATATAAAAAAAAAAATTATTAAATTTATAGTTGGGAGTAAAAAAAAGAAATACCTATTTAATGTAAATAATAAATTAAAAATATAAAATATATTAAATAAATTACTTTGAATAATCCATAAAAAATAAGAAATAATAAATAATAAAAAAGGTAAAATAATTATAATATTTTTTTAAAAATATATTTAATTTAATGAAAGAAGGAAAATGATAATAATGGAAAATTAAAAAGGTTTTTTAAATGAATTTAAAAAAAAAAAAACTGAAATAAATTTTTAAAAAGAAGTAATATTAAATTTTTAAAATATATTTGAAAAATGATTATTAAATATAAATATATATTACAGAAATTAATAATTAATTGAATATATAAAAATTTTCCATAAAATATAATAAATATATATTTTTAAATGAAAATAATAAATTCTATTATAATAAATTAGTTATGTATTTTATTATATATTGATATTAAGATAACAAAATATTACTTTAATTAAAAGAAAATATTAAAATTTATAATGAGAATTTTAATTTTTCGGATGATAATTTTTTTTAAAAAAAATATCTTTTTTTTGATTATTTACATTTATTTAAAATAAAATTATTTTAAACAAGAAATAACTAAATAAGCATCTTTTGATAATCTATATTAAAATTGAATTTTTAATTTATATCGTTCAAAAAAATATAAAACCGTGTAAACCGCCGATTGAATATTTTGAAATGAAAACTTAATTAAACCAAACATTTCAGATTTAATTATTGTACCATATCTAAGTTTTTGTTTCCCTATTATTGTCTAATATATATATAATATTGTATAAAGGGTTAATTTCTAATAATTATAAACTAGAATAATAATTAAAATATTTATATCAATAATTTGTAAATAATAGATTTTTAAATACATAAAACATTTTTTAATTATAAACTTTGAATTCATTCACATTAAATTGTTTATTTTAAATAACAATGAACAAAAAACTTTATTAACTTTTTAAAAATCATATTTATTTGATTTCATTAAGATCTTTTCAAGAATTTAAGCATATATCATAATTATAATTATGTATTATATGTAATAATTAACCTTTTTTTATATTATCTCTTAAAATTGCTTTTTTTAGGTTTTTCTATTTAACTTATCCATCTTTTTTCAAAAATAAAAATGAAACTCTATCCTTTTAAATTTAAAACTATATTCGTTTTAATTTGTGTTTGTATATAGTTTTATTTATATTATTTAAGATTTATTTATAGTATTTTAATAATTATTTTGGATTTATTTCTTAATTAGAATAATAACTATTTTGTGAAATATTAGAGAATATTTGTGTAATTAAATATATATATATATATATATATATATATATATATATATATATATTTATATTTATATTTATATTTATATATATATATATTGTCTTTTCAGAAGCTTTTTCTTAATAATGTTCGAATTAAAGATATTAATAATAATTTAATTAAATATTTCATATGTAATTTATTTCGAGATAAAATATTATATATAAAATAATTCATTTTTATGATAAAATACTAATATATACAAAACCATTATTTAACAATTGTTTATTTCTTTGTTTTTAATTTAAAAAAATATCTAAATAATTTTATTTTATACACCTTAATCTGATTATTAAATAAACAAGCGAGATCCCATATATTTAAAATTTTTGGTTTAATTATTTAATTTTTTCTTAATTTAAATTCTTTTACTAAAATATAGATATTAATAATTCAATTTAGAAATATTTTAAAATAATTAATCATATAATTAAATATTAAACTAAAAAAATAATAATAAACTATTTATTTATTTAAAAGATTTCGAACATATTATATAATTATAATTAAAATACTATTTTTTTTATTTTCATTTAATTTATAAATGTAATTAAAAAATTTAATATGTTTATTTTTATTATAAAATAATAAAAAATTATTAACTATTTTCTTATATATTATATTTGAATACATTTTATTTCAATTTCTTAAATTTGATCTTAAATTGTTCTTACTAATCATATCTTCTAAATTCATTTTAATTGGAGAAGTTAAATTTTTTTATTTACTTTCTAAAACTTTAAAAATACTAGTATTTTTTTAATTTCCTAATTCATATTTTTAATTTTATTCAACAATAAATCAAAAGGCTTATTTTCATTAATTTTTTATTTATTTATTTATTATTTTTAAGCAATAAGAGCCTTTTCTTCTTTTTAATTTCCTGTTGTATTTAAGCCTATTTATTATAAATGTTAATTGAATTCA